GATCAGGTTGCTCAAGGCCCCATCCAGCTTGATCTTGCATGGAATAAGGTTATTCTATGCTGCATACAGGACTTTGTACTTGCATTTATTGAACTTTTTGAGGTTTCAACCTGCCTGTTTTTCTAACTCTTGGACGTCTCTTGAATCAGCCACCCTGGGCCATTCCTGCATACTGTTTAATGGTATTTTCTGCATGCTCCACCCCAGCTGGGCGTCACCAGCAACCTTGCTGAGCATGCATTCAGTCCCATCTGCCAGGTGCTCCGTAAAGACATTAAGCAGTATCAGCTCTAGTTTGGCCTCAGGCAATTATCACCGGAGATTGTCTGTCAGCTGGACTTTGTACTGTTGGTCAGAACCCATAAAGCCTGGTGGGCTAGCTAGCTGTCCACCCTGCCAGTAGGCTACTTCTTCAGGTTAAATTTCATTAAGTTCTGAAAAAATACTCTGGAAGACTGTCACAGTCCCTGTTGAAGTCAATGTAAACAGCATTCACTGCTGTTCCCGTCTTTACCAAAGCAGTTCTCTTCTTAAAGCAAGCTGCCAAGTTGTTCAAGTATGGTATAGTTTTTGTGTTGTGGTGATTTGTTTGGGGTTGGGTTTGTTTTGTTTTGTTTTTTGGGTTTTTTGTGGTTTTGTATGTACAGTTTCTTCCATAATCTTTGCAGGGACTGGAGTGAGACTGACTAGCAGATGGTTCTCCAGATTCTCCTTCTCCTTCCTGATGATAGTTTTTTTTTTTCTAATCTTGAAGCAACTCGAGGTCACCATGACCTTTCAGAGATGATAGAGAATGACCGTGCAGTAAGATCAGCCTGCTCACATGCTCAAGTTCATGTGGCACTTGGCAGTGTCATTGATTCATATCTGAATGAATAGCCAAGGGGTGCTTGTCTAAAAGCTAAACTCAGGCAGATTCATCAGTCTTTCAACAGCATCCCGGGAAGTATAACTGTTCTGGAAAGGCTCATCCACAGACTTTCCTTCTGTTACCACAAGTCACTAATTTCCCGTATTTGTCTCTCACTCACTCCCCATCTTAGGAGTCTCCATCCACTGATCCACTGAGTGCAGTGCCTAGCTGTCTCTTCTTTCTTGCATCATGGGGCTCAGACTTGTGGCGCTGCAAGATCTCTTTGAAGATGCATCTACCTACTGTTCATCATTGCTTACTTTGTCCTATAGACCCTTCCACTGTAGAAGCAACACCTCAGGCAAAGCATCCATCCCATGGGTGAGGCCACCACCACTGCTTCAGCACTAGGGAGAAGAACCAGGCATATAGCCCAAGCCCTGGATGATGGAGTCCTCTTCCCAGACCTCTGGGTCAGATTTCTGGTATGCTAAGAACACTTGCTTCATCTGAGTTTCTGGGCCCCTCTGCTTCACTGCTGTGCTGTCTGAATTCTGCTGATAAGCAGACAGGGGGATTGCTGTCATAAAATCAGTGGTAAAATAATCATGAGGTGGAAAACTGCCCAAGAGAGTGAAAGGCTTCCTCTAAAGGTACAGGGAAGGGCTTTATCAGTGGTAAACAGTGTGTTGAATTTCTGCATAACCATCTCTTCATGACTTCTCTGAATCCTCAAAGGGTTCACAAAGTGTCTCTTTGACATTTCACTGAACTGTCAAAGGAGTTTTCTTGTGTTAGAGGCAGATATACCAGCCTATGCATTCTAAAACACTTGATATTTTTAGTATTTTTATGGACAGAAAGTCTAGATTATTATTATGATTTTCCTGGTGTCTTGCTAATTTGAGAATCCCTAAGCACTGTGTTCCTGTGTGTTTTACACTTTCTTTTATAGGCTAATATCTCACAAGTCTGAACTTCAAGAAGTCTGAGATTATAAGAATTGATACAGTTTTCTTTCAAAACATGTGATGTTTAATTAACATTTATGTTCTTTAAGTACAAACAGGATGATGGTATGACTTGATTCTTTACCAAGTCATTTCTACAGTGTCCTGATTTGGAGTAAAAGAAAACTATTGTATGGAGAGTTTAAGTGCAGTCATACTATGTCAGAGAGATCTTGTCAGTATACAGTATTGGTTTTTGCTAGTGGTTGATACACATATCTAGGGAAGAGAACAGGGGAAATTGTAAGGATACTTCCTCACTGTATTCTCCTAACATGTAGTGACTTGAGGTTCACAGTCAGGGACTGCCTGAAATAGGGGTGACACTTGGTATTTAATAGCTGATGAATAGACTTGTAGCACTGGCAGTGTATTGTGACAGGCGGTTCCCCTGTGTGACTACACATTGTAGGGAATACATTCCTTTTTGGTTTTTAACCTCTTGCTGCTAAATTCACTTGATTTCTGCCAATACAAGACGGAAGAGTAAAAGGCAACAGTTGATCTCAATTTACCATCTCCATACAGCTTTTGATTTTACAGACCTGCCACTTGATTTAGGTTACATCTTTTCAGCCGGGAAAAATGCTACTTTCATCTTATAATGAAGCTGTTCTTTGTTGAATTCATCCTTTTGCACTTCTCACTTGTTCCTTCTAATCCTTCTATATCCTTTTTGAAATTACAAGACTGGATGTTCACACAGCGCTCAAGATGAGAAAGCAGATACTATTTAATGACATAGGGTTGGTTTGGTTTCTATTTTCTACTTAGTAGTCTGTAACAAATTATTTTTCTTTTACTGCTGCCAGTGGTTTTACAGAACTTTATCATGCAGCTCCCAAGATCCAGAATTCAGGTCTATCCTCGTGTCTATTTAAAAAAAATAAAAAGACACCAAAAAATCAACAAAAAAACCCAAACAAACAAACCCTAGGATTTTTTCTTAACATACCTCACTTAATGTTTTGTTGTGGTAATTTCATCCATTTTATCCTCAAATTGTTAATTACAGATACTTTTACAGTTCTTAATTTCATACAGCCATCCCTGTACACCGAAACTATATAGCTGCAAACTGGGATCCCAAACAAAATTCATTCTTGGCATTTGATGTTCCCTTACACAGGAAGCAGAGGGATATATACCCTTCTAGCACTGTACAACTGAAAGGCTTCTATGTTGCTATGCCATCCAAACCTGTGCCAATTCATTGTATATGGATGCATGGATGTGTCTGCTGCCAATAAGAAGAAATAAGCTGTATTTAGAAGAGGGTTGTCATCTTATTTTGCCTTCAGAAGGCCAAGGGGAAGTAGGGGTCAAATTATGACAATGAAATGCTAAAGGAAGGGCTGTCTTAAATAATACAGGCTTTTTTGTGAGGTTTTTTGCTTAGTCATGGCTGATGTGGTTTAACCCCAGCTGGCAAACAAACCCCTCACAGCCACTCACTCACTGTCTCCCCACCCTGGTAGGAAGGGGGAAAGAATTCGAAGAATAAAAATGAGAAAATTCATGGATTGAGATAAAGCAAAAGCTACACAAACAAGAAAAATAGAACAAGGAATCCATTCACTACCTCCCATGGATAGGCAGGTGTTCAGGCATTCCCAGAGCTCCATCACGTGTATCAATGGCTAGGGAAGACAAATGACATCATTCCAAACATCCTCCACTTCTTTTTTTCTTCGCCCAGCTTTGTATGCTGAGTGTGATTCCGTATGGTATGAAATATCGCTTGGACCAGTCAGGGTTAGCTGTCCCAGCTGTGGCCCCTACCAGCTCCTTGTGCATCCCCAGCCTCCTCGCTGATGGGGTTGGGTGAGAGGCAGAAAGGCCTCGACTCTATGTAAGAGCTGCTCAGCGGTGACAAAAACATCCCTGTGTTATCAATGCTGTTTCCAGCACTAAGCCAAAACATGACCCCAACTAGCTGCTGGGAAGAAAATTAACTCTACCCCAGCCAAAACCAACACAATGGCTTGTGATTAAAGTTCTCCTTTTCAATAAATTCTTCAGTTTACACTGAAAGCATGTACGGAAAACTGTGTGCATGTACCTTTTAAAATTCTAGTGTGCGTTTGAAGAGTCTTACTTTCCCTTTATTTTATAAGTTAAGAGTATCTGCAATTCTAATTTTAACTGGTAAGCTGTCCCCACTGGGAAACATTTCGGGAGCACCTTGAATTGAAATATGTCTGCAATGGCAGGAAACCTGTTAGTGTAAAGAAAAAATAAAATTAAAAACCTCTATATTTTAGTGTAAGTCACCAGGCTCAAAGCTGTTCTTGATTCTGCACTACCAGTCGTGGAAATAGGCAGTCTTTGTAACAAAGTTCGTTTGTAATTTGAGTAGGACAAAAGAGAATTTCACATGTTGGCATTCTAAAATTCTAATGTATACATGTTGAAAAATGTATAAAGGTTTGCTCTATAATCAAGTGTTGAGCTATTAAAGTCCCTGTAAGTGTCAGAATTACTAGTTGATACCTTTAGCTTTGAATACCTAGTAAGTGATCATGGTGGCTTATGGGTACTTTGTTAACCTTCCCTACTGTTTAACTTTGCCAAAGGGGATGTTTATTTTTGGTTTGCTGAAAGCAAAGCATTTGTCTTTGTGACAAATTTGTAATGTGCCATTAGACCCTATGTAAAACACAGGCATTTGTAGGCTAGTATTCCTAGTATGGGCCCAGAAAGTCAGTGTGTATTACATGGGAGGAGCATGAGAAATATTAACCATGGGCTTCACCCAGTACACATTGATACCTTGCTTCCTAGGATATTCCTGTTTTTCATTCATTTAGATTGTTCCAATTTCCAGAGGATCCAGAGAGTTCCAATTTCATTTGATGTGCCTACCTTCTTCTTCAGTGGCACAGTAGAGGACTCTTTTGATCACTCATTTTAACATTTCAGATAATGAATGTTGACATAGTAAAGGACTGGAGTCATGCTGCTTTAATTGACCCTGTTCCCTTAATCTCACTGGAATGCATAGAGCATTCATTTTCTTACATACAGCATTTGGTGATTAAGTTGCTACCTTTAAAGTGGAGTTAAAATTTCTGCTTTTAGCATCTATTCTCAGGTAAATTTGGTGACTTTCTTTTTCTTTTTTGTTTTTTTTCCAGATATAGAACGTGGTCTCTCAAACTGGATTAAAACAACCTGTTGATATTTTTATTTATACTTTTTTATTTTTTGTATTTGACTTAAAGTGCCATGAAAAAATTTGCATATTGCAAGGTGGTCCTTGCCACCTCTTTGGTTTGGGTCCTTCTGGACATGTTTCTATTGCTGTACTTCAGTGAATGCAACAAATGTGATGAGAAAAAAGAACGAGGCCTGCCTGCTGGAGATGGTAAGTTTTCTGCCTGAGTGTTCTTTAAATTATGGTCATTTAAAATTGCACTCTTTTTAAACATTTGGGATTGTTTTTCCGCAACAATATAGCATTGCGTCAGCATTTAGGTGTTGTAGAATGTTCCCTGTTTCTTTGAATGACTAGGGAATAACCACATTGCCTGAAATGTATGATGCAGACTTAAATGCTTAAGATGTAGCATTTTAAGCACTAATGTAAATGAAAAAAATAATGAAACTATGCAACAAGAAGTTCAGGAATGTAAGCTATGTTAATATAATCTAAAGTATATTTTAAATTTCCACCGGTGAGGAAGCAAAGGCACTTTTATCTTCACTAGACTTGGTAGTGAAACAAACTAAACCAACAACCAAGCTTACCTGGCTGCCTGCCCCTGCAAAAAAGACCTCAACCAACCAACCAAACCAAAAAATGCCCCCTGCCCCCAACCCCACCTAAGCAAAAGTTTGGACAGTGACTATAGCAACAAGGGACAGTGAATATTGTAATGACAATAAGTTTATGAAAATAAATATGATTAACTTGGTTGGAGAAGTGACAAATGAGCACATGCTTATGTATGCAGCTTTTTTTAAGTGACACCTGTATTATTGCATGCTAAAGGTCTTTAGATAAGCTTTCAGTTTTGTTATTGCCATCTTCGTTTCCGAGTACCAGTTAGATGAGCTGAGTGTGGGGTTTTTCGGGTTTGTTTTTTTTTTTTTTTTTTTTTTTTTGAAAGCACTACTTTTTATGTTGCCAACTTTGTTTTAAGGAGGTCAACATAGTTGATCACATGGAAGAAAGGATTGGTGCGGGGAGATTTCTCATCCCTGAAATGCCTCAGCATATGCATTTAGAACTGCAGGCAGCTGCTGTCTCCAGTTCATTTGTGAAACATCTAATTTTGTAGTGTGGTGTCTCTCCCACCTGAAGGGCTGTGTCTGTGTTTCACTGCTGATATAAGAAACTTACACAGTGATACTAGTTATTAAGTCTAATCAACCAATTGTACTCAAGATTAATGATTTCCATCACAAAAAACTTTTTCAACTGTTAACATCTGGTATGGACAACCTTGTCCTTCCTGGGAAATTTTCTGAAGTATTTTAAGAATAATGTTGCTCTGTTGCAGAATAACACTGGAGAGATATTTAGGAAATGTCAGGTTTGGTTTAGTTGAGATTTTTCCCCATGATGAAAACAGGCTAATACAGAGAACAACAACGTGTAAGAATGCAGAATTTCTGCAATGTCTGCAGTGTCTCTGAACTGTTTTTTCCACAACTGCATGCAAACATTTTAGAGAGGTTCTAATTCACCTGAATTTTTGCAGAAGGAACTTAAATTTTCAGTTGCTTGCATTTAATCCTTTGGGTTTCTTTTTCAATAAGCACACAGGAGAGTGATGAGAAAATTAATTAGGCTTATGTAGAAAGTATATCTTTTATAGAAACTCAGTCTTCTTTTGTTCTCTTTTTATTTTTTTTTTCAGAAGTTGGGAAATTTTTTTGATGGTAAGATGACTGATATATTGTTGTATAGGAATGGATCCACTTTTTGGATTCCCATAAAGTTTTTACCCCATGCTAAGAAGAGAATTTATGCCAGGCTTCTTTAGTGCTGTTGAATTTACTTTTTTTTTCTGTTGACAAACAACAATTAAAGTCAATATTTATCAAACTTAGTTTGGTATTTTGATGATGTTGAAATTTTAGGTGACTTTATGTATAAAGTCAGTGGGGGGAACTTTCAGGTGAGGGAAAGTCTGCAGTTTTGACAGATTAGTATTATGACGTTCCCTATGCAACACTAGCTTTACTTAGGTGAGTACAGTCTTCATTCTGACCTTTCACTAATCTGTGTGTGTTAAAATCCTTGATATCTTTTTAATATCTTATAGTTGACTGGTAAACAAACAAACAAAAAGAAACAAAAAACTACGCAAACCAAGCAAACAAAATCTTGTGTATAGTTTTGTATGTTTTTTTGGGTTCTTTTAAACAGCTGATTTGTAATAAGGTATGTGCAGAAATAGGTCTGCTAGAAACCATGGTTTTTCTGTGACTTCCTTTTAACCAAGTTGCATGCTTGATCATAAATATTTTTACTTGTTCCAGTAGTTTACCAGCTTGGAATCTGTAGTAGATTGATTCCTGCTCAGAAGTCTAGAATCTTCAGATAACATTGAGGATATTTTTTCTGTGAAGCTTTTATCAAAATCTGCTTTTTCACTTCACTTTCTTCACTCCTATTAATTTCCATAATTGAATTAGTTTTCTTGATTCAGCATAAATTATATAAGAGTTCTGAACTTAATAGCCTCTTGTCCTTGTCACTCTGGTATATAACTTCACTTTGCAATTCATGGAAGAATTCCGTAGCATTTAATGAATCTACTTGGCATATAAGTTTTTCTGAAGAGTTTTTGTTTATTTTAGGTTATGCTTGTCTAGTTGGAAAAATTAGTCTTTAGCTATTTCAGCAGGAGCACAGGATTTTGGGGATAATTTTGGACAGTTTGGGCTTTCATGAAGTTAGGATGTTTTCCATAGGAAATGAATCCTTCTTTACCCCTACTTAAAAGTTTCTTAAAGGTATGATTGCAAATCAACTTCCAGCTTTGGCACTTGATATGGTTTCTAAATAAACTTTCAAACTCATCCTTTATCCCTTTTTTCTCCTCAAGGTGCATTCCCCTTGTTTAATTATTAGAAGCGCAGGATGGTGAGGAATCTTTCAGATTTAGGATTGGTATTGCAAGAGTCTTGTAGTCTCAGCTCCTTGCTATTTATGCTCTTTTCTTGGGCAATGACAAAATATGGCCAGTCATTTTTGTCAAGTACCAGTCAAGTCTTATGTTTTGAATTTTGAACTCTGGTAAAGATAGAATCTCTAAATAGTGTCTCGGTTCTGAGAAATCTCACCTGCACGAAAAAATCCTAAGAAAAGCGAGCAATTTCAAGATATAAAACACAGGTTGAATTTTTGAAAATGCAAACTGTACATCATAAATCAGTTTCGTTTTGTTAAAGCTGAGGTGTGTGCAAGAGACAGAGCTTCTCTGAACTTTTGCCTGTCCAAACAGCTTTCTTGTAATTATGGTGATGCCTCCAAAGGTGATGATTTTGGACTGGTCGGTTTACATTGTTGTAGCCGCTAAAGACATCTCACCAGAAAAATCTACCCCTTTTTCCTGGCTTTAGGTGGTCTTAGATTTTGAAATATCTGGCTTTCATCAGGCATATTGCCTGGTAAAAAGAAATTTGTAGTCCACAGACATAAGCAGTTCCTTATTTTTTAATGAAGATCTGGAAGAGATCAAGCTCCCTTTGAAACCAATGGTTTATCGATAAAATTAAGAGATGTCTCGGAAAACATTACTAGATTTCCCGTTGGATTGGGTGGTGATTAATGACTTAATTCATTTAGTTCTGAAACTTGCAACTGTAAATTAAATTTCTGTTTTTTAGAAGTATGTCATCAGTACGTGCCTACAGTCCTTCAAAGGAAATATTTTTTTTGTATTTAGCTGACAAAAGAGCACTGTGGTTTGAATGCTTAACAATGTGTATTAGTCATTTTGGGAGAACATTGTTGATTTGTGTCTATGTGAAAACTACGTGCTTTTGTGGGAAAACAGAAAACCATAAAAAAAGGCATGGTTCTCAGAAACTTCAGATGGTTAACTTTTCTTGGAAAGTCATCACCCTGTCTGTGCACCAAGTTTTGACTGTCTTTGCATTTAATGAGTTGCACAAAACATCTGGATCTGGTTTGTTGTTGCTGAATTTTTCTGCAAAAGAATGGAGTACACTACTGAGGTAAAATGTGTAATGAAGTAATGTGTATTTACTAATGAAATTTAAAAATTCAGCTTATGAATTTGTGGAATTTGTACACCAGGATCCAAGTCACTGGTGTGCTAAACTCTCATCTAACAGCAAGGTCTGCAAATGTGAGAGATGAGTTTTCAGTTAATTTAGCTACTCAATTTGACTGGTTTAGTAAACGTTAAGGAACAACTGGAAGTGTAAATGAAACAGGAAATGATTTTTTCTTCTAAATAGGTAATTTGGTAGGATAAGACATTCACTCTTCAGAGTTCTGAAAAACATGGTGAATATACCTATATTCTGATTGTTTTGGTTTAATTGTTTTAAGTATGTGGAACACTCATTGTCTAATCATTTTATGTCTTAAGTAAATTATATACTCATTGCCACACAGTTAATAAAAATTATTATGATAGTCCACGTAATAATACCAAGCTGACTATAAAAAAATTAAACCCAAATAATTACCTTATTGTATACCATAATTTTATGTTAATTACACCCAGAAAGGCACAAATTCTAATTTGAAAGGTTGTGCAATTGCAAATCAGAAAGTTTTGATGCAGGTTCAACCATACCTTCTTAAGAGGCAACGATGCAAAGCAAGCTGTTTGTTCAGTTTAGCCCATGGCCAAAACAAACACCTAGGCCAATCTGTTCAGGATCTGCTTGAACATACTTATTCTATCAATTTTCAGTGTATGAGTGGCTGACTTACAACTTCTAGAATTTTATAGCTCAACTGGCAGTCGTGGGGAGTGTGGTAAAAAGAAAGCACCCTTACGGTGGGAGGATTTTCTCTGCTGAATGTTACTGTGTGAATGCAACTAGTGCAATTTCTTCAGGTACTCGAAAATGAAAGTTTCTCAAGGAGCACGTTGTGCTTGTTACTGATTAGCGCTAAATGCAGGCTAGCAAAAAGTCTTATTTATTAGTAATATATATTTTATGCCTCAGTGTTTCATCAAAGATGGAAGGCTTGGACTTTTTTTTTTTTAAATTTTACTTTTATACCTTGTGTGGCTATTTGCTCTTTAATCACACTTTGCTATCCTAAGGTGCAAATTAAAGGTAATTTGAACCTAGGCTTATTTCTAAAGGAATTTGGTGTCTTTATTTTAAAATACTTCCTATTCCTCTGTTTAGATCTTAAATTACTATTTTTTTTAATTAATATTTTTACTGAATTTTTAAAGGGGTAATATACCTCAAATTCACTATTTTGTCATTTCTTTTCAGAAGAAAAGTGAATGGTATTTGTAAAGAGAAGTGTAACTTTTTAAAAGACATTTGTTTTCCACTTATTTTGTTTAAACCCCCAAATAATTCAAGAGTCTGGATTCCTTTTTTCCTCCCTCTCTCCCTCTTCAATTTTATCAGATAGTTGATATTTAAGATTTTGTTTGTTTAAAGATGTATAGTGTTACTGGTTTGAGTACTAACATTAAACTCCAAATGTAATTTTGTTGACTAAAAATAATGTTAGTGCAAACAGGAGAAATTATTTCTAAACTGTAAATGCCAATGTCATTCTGTCAAAATAAAAATGTGGAAATAAATGTAAAGCTACACTTTAATAGAACCTTTACTGGTCTGGAACATCAGACATTTATCACAGAATCACAGGATATTTGCAGTTGGAAGGGACCCACAAGGATCAATTCCTGGCCCTGCACAGGAAAGCCCCAAGAACCACACCATGTGCCTCAGAGCACTGTCTAAACAGTTCTTGAACTGTGTCAGGCTCGTTGCTGTGACCACTTCCGTGGGGAGCCTGTTTCAGTGCCCAACCACCCTCTGAGTGAAGAACCTTTTACTAATATCCAGCCTAAACCTCCTCTGATGCAACTTCAGGCCATTCCCTTGGATTCTGTCACTGGTCACCAGAGAGAAGAGATCAGTGCCTGCCCCCTCCACTTCACTTCTTGAGAAAGTTGAAGAGTACTGTGTGATCTCCCCTCATTTATATCCCAGATTTTTCTTGCACACACAGACTTTCCTGGAAAAGTTGGATTTTCCTTTACAGAAACTTTAGTAAAGTCAATTATGACGTAATGATGGATAGAAATAAATTGGTATTGGGGTTTTTTTACATGAATTGTAGTGTCTAAGAATAGCACTTAATTACTTCTGTTAAACTCCCAAATGTGAAGATTTGTTTTCACTTTCAAAACCTGGTGGGGTTTAGGACTATCTTAAATATGAATGCTCCTACAGTGTAAAATAATGTATAAACAAACAAAAACAAGCCTAAAAGTAGTTAGTAATGTTTTATTTATTATTAGTTCCAGAACCCGTACAAAAACCACATGAAGGACCTGGAGAGATGGGGAAGCCTGTGGTCATTCCTAAAGAGGAGCAAGAAAAAATGAAAGAAATGTTTAAAATAAATCAATTTAATTTAATGGCAAGTGAAATGATTGCACTCAACAGATCTTTACCTGATGTCAGGTTAGAAGGGTAAGTACTTTATGTTGTATCAAGAAGGTACTTTTGTTTAAATGAAGACTGTGCAAAGAGTAATCCAAAACAACAGTTCAGTTCTGTAAGATATAACTTTCAAGCAAACAGTTGGATAATTTCCTATATATAAGATACTTACTGGTAAAATAAGATGGAACAGCAGAAAACCAGTTTTCTTCAGTGTTATTTAATTTTGAATCTGATTACAAGTATGAAGCCCGTTCAGAGAATAGAAATTAATTTGGTTGAAGGAAAACAAAGTTAGTTAAGACTTGACATTTCAGGAAAAAATTACTTATTTGAAAAATTCATGCACTGCTTCTAAGGAGACAGTCTAAAATTCTGCATTATATAAAATAAAAAAGATTGGATGATGAGGAAAATCCTTTAAAATGTTGTTACCTAATGAAATGTGCAAAGCTTCATTTAGATTGCATTATAATGTTTTCTAATATCCATCTGGTTTGGTTTTGATCTTGCTTCTGAAATATTGATCCTTTCAGAGCTATTTGAGTCATAAGTAATTAAAAAGAAAATTGTAGCCTTGTTTTAAAGAAAACTGAGCTTCCATTACTCTCCTGGGACTCCTCTGACAGAGTAGCTGAGGACTCCCCCTTCCCCAGCCTCTCTTGTTTATGAACGGGACATTCAAGTTGAATATAGCTCACGAAACAAAATTTTCCCAATTATCTGCATTCTCATGCAAGAATCAGATGCTATAGAAACCCTATTTCTTTAGAAGCTCTGCTTTGCTTCTGTATACTCAAGGCCTAGCTTCTGGATGAATTTGTTTTCATCTCCTACCTCAGAAGATTAATATTAAGAGAATGAGATGAAGCTCTCTGTGCTTTTCTTTTTTAATGAGTGTTAAAGAGCTGGTTTGTGGGTACCTTCATCTGTTGTGATGAAAGTGATTTTATGTAGTGTGTGAGTTCCTGGTAGTGCTGGTGTTCTTAATAATTGAGGCATATTTTTCAAAATACAATTTCACAATCTTGAATTAGTGTAACTTTTCAATCAATTTTCAGATATATTTTTAGTCAGATTTTTTGGTCACTGCTTGTCTGTTACTCACTGTAGTGGAAGAATGCAAATCATGAACGTGCAGGTTTTCTTTCCAATCTGACAGATGTTGTTTGGTGGGGAGAGGTATATCCTTCTCTCTTGTGTTATTGCTCTGGTCATTGTTGTAACTTGGCAATGGGATCTCTTGGATTTGTGCAAATTCATATGTAATGTCTGCCCCCTTTTTCACAATCTATAGGGTAAGAAATTGCCTCCCTGTTAAGTGGTGACTTCCACTGGCAAAGAACTTATAGTTAGGATTCTCAACTTGCTTAACTGCAAGGAAAATCATCTGCTTCATTGGAGAATTTTGTCAAAGCTGAGATACTAATATGGGATGATTTCTGCATGTTTTTCTGGAAGGGCATAATGGAAGGAATTACCAAAAGTTTGGGGAAGCAATAGTTACAATTTTTGGTTATTTGGATGGTAAACAGAAGTAAAGTCTTCATTATGACCCTGAAGTATGAAGAAATTAAATATCATCTTTTTTCAGCATTCATATTTGAAAACTTGCATGTATATATTCTACCATTTCCATAATGTAAGTAAAAAGATAAGAAAATAAATTTGTGGATCTAAAAAGTTGACATAATCAACTTCAAAATTAAGCTTTGTGAGGTCTAGACTTTGAATTAGCCAAAAATGGAAAGAGAAATTGTTACAAACTATTAAAAAAATATTGCGTAAACATCGCTCAAACTTGCAGAAAAATGAAATTACAATTCTATAATGAAGTTTAGCTATAGGAAATTTTTGTCTTTCACACTTGGTTATGCTCTAGAATTATTGTGTTTTGCAGTAAGACATACATTGTAAGTTTTGTAATGTTGCATTTGCTTCTCTTTTCCATTTGTCTGGATACAATACTGTCACTGTACTCTGTGTGTGAAAGTGGAATCTTAGAATAAAATTTTGGGTAAAGTCTCAGGGCATAGTTGGATTTTCTGTTCTTGTAAATTCCTGCCAAATTTTTTGACATTTATTTTCAGTGTGCATTTTTTAGTAGATTTTGAGAGAAAAATTATTCCCAAAAATCTCCTTTGTCTTTTTTCAACATGTACTTTATAAGGTCATTCTAATTAAGAAGCTGGGGAGTGTTTTAGCATTTCCCCAGCAAATTTGAGAACAATACTGTCTTTACAATGAAAGGATATCTTAATCTGTATGGATGGATTAGTATTACTTTTCAAAAACGCTGTAACCATTTTCAGAATTGTTAAAACTATAAATATCCTCTGGTGTTATGTGTATGTCTTATGAAACTATCTGATTAGTCAAAATATTCAAAGGTCAGAAATGCTTTGTGCTGCATTAGTGGAATTACTTCTATTTTAATTTGTTCTATGTCCCTGGCTGTATGTAAATAGTTTATGGAGAAGAAGAATGGGTAGTTTTTAATCATTCCTTACCACATTTATGTGCCTACGGAACAGCTGCCAGTAGCACTTTCAATCAAGATTTTGAAAAAGCAGGATATGTTCAAAGGCACACTTAGCTGTTCAACCATGTAATTATTTTCTTCACAGGTTTTGTGGGTTGCTTCCTTTAATGTGGTGTAGAGGGAAGATGTGATTATTTCAAGTCCTCTAATTCTCCAGCATGTCAGTTTTTCTGAAGTACAGAAGCCTGTAAAAGTTTTGCCTTACAGTTAATCATGGGAAAGCTGGTGGAATTAAGAGTGCCAGGACCAATTTGCCACATGTATTTAATGGGGATGGCACGACCTGTCAGCTGGAGAGCAACTTCTGAAGTAGTCTACATTATCCTTTAATTAATTTCTAGTTCTGCCGAGTCCCCTGCCATCTGTGTGAAGACAAGGTCATTGGTGTACGTGCTTGGTCCTAGAGTTCTCATAGGTTAATCTCTACAGATGACCCACTCTGGGCATTCTGTTTATGTTTTGGCCAAGAAATTTTGTTCCCTTACTAGAAGAATAAAAAGATGAGCTGTTTTAATAACTTCTAGGTACTTCTTCAGCTGAGGGAACTCCTCAGTACAGGGCAGGTATGGACATTGACACCTCTGTTCTGCTGAGCTGTACCCTAGTGGTGTTAACAGGTTTATATTTATTTTTATTATTTGGCACAAAAATACTGATGCACATAAATGCCTTTAAAATCATTGACATGTGCCTGAATTGCTAGTCACTTTGTATCTGAAACCAGAAACATTGTTCTACTTATTCTTCTCATTATCCCAGCTGAATGTGTTTTGCTCAACAGAAAAAGCCAAACCAGAAGTAATTTTTTTTAGCCTGGATATTTCCCTGAATCTGGACTCTGGGGCATGTTACTGTAACAAACTAATATGACAGACAGGGCTACAACCTCTGGAGGAAAGTTGTTGCTGGGGAATAAGCAGCTGGGCATACCAGATTGGTTTTAAATTGTTAATAGAATAATTCTTGTAAGCATGTCTTATTCTAGTCCATGAATCAGTCATCAAAGTGAGAGTTGATTCACAGTTGCCAGGAAAATATGCAGCTGTGGGTTTGACATGACAGCAGAGACTAAAAGATGGATGATTAGGAACACCAGAGTCTTGCCTTGATTTTGCTGAAGATGAGGAAGGCAACGAATAAAATAGGTGTCAATGACTAAAGTGCATGTTCAGCTGTGCCTGTGTGTCTTAGGCTGGTATTCAGGCTGGAAAGTAGGGTGGTTGAAAGCATGAAATTTGCACATGTCATATGACTTGGTTTGGCTCTCAATACTTGTTGGAGGTGACTTTAGAAGCTGGTTTGCAAAATGAAGAATGAGTATAGTGTTCTAAGGCTGAGCTTTCCAGCCTGAATTCATTACAGAATAATTTGTGTAATATCTAAAACGTTTGTGTTCCTGTTGTGAGAATTTAAACCAAATTCTGAGGTTTTTACATGTGAAAATGTGAGGGTTTAAATCAAATTCTGAGGTTTTTACATGTGCAAAGATCTTCTTAAAACACTTTCTTTTTCAGGCACAAGCAATCAAGGCTGGAAACAGTGGAGACATAGCTGGAACAGAATGATGTTGTTCATGTAAGCTCTGGTCCCCACTGGAGCTTATGATGCAGCGCTAGGAGGGTGTCATATTTTGCAGGTTGAGATTTCTTGGAAGGGGGATGGGCTTCCCTAAGCAGACCTGAAGCAAGGAGAAGTATCCACTCTCCTTGCTGACACGTCAGCAACCCTTTCTCTAAGGCTGCAGGTTCTATAAAATTTGGCATAAAAGATCTTCCTTGCCGTTTTTCCTTAGTTGGTATAATTTTGCCAGAATCAGACATCTTATTATACCTCAGTTAGTTCTACATAAAGTTTGGGATCTTTTAACTGACCTTTTCTCAAACTGTCTGTATTCGGGAAGGTAGGTGTGGTGGTGTTTTGAGTGATATAAGTCATGTTAGGGTATAATCAGAGTTTTTAGCCAGATGACCCTGCATATTTGAGTGAACTGGGTCTAAATCCATACAAACTGTGACTTCAGC